CCTCCGGGGATGCCCCAGCCAGCCGGCACTCCGAAACCAGCGGAGTCCTTGAGAGAGCAGGCTCGACCCTCCCGGGGGGGTACCACCTGTTTCTTCCGAGGCTCCCCCCGACAATCGGATGTCGGTTGCAGCATCGGAGGGTGAGCCGGATTTCTCTGGGGATGAAGATCCGTCAGCGTTGCCGCCCTCTGGGCGGTCAGCGGTGTGGGATACGGACCCAGAAATAAAAATGTAATGGATTTCAGGGTTATAATGGGAATTGTATTGGTTTTAATGTAAACTATAATGGTGTCTATTTGATGGATTCTATTGGTGGGATGTAATATGGCAGATGGCAACCAATAGAACAACAGTAATTCCTATTGGAATAATGCCCAAAACAAAAAGGTTTAATGTAATGGTTTAATGGAAACTTTAAGAATTTCTGTGATGGTTTCTATTGTTTTTTTTCAGCAGGGTAATGATACCCATACTGTGCTGCACATTACTGGCAATATTGAGCTGAAGCTTGACTTTGCAAATTTAAAATCGCAAATCAAATCGCAATCGCAATATCTGTCAAAAAAAAAAAAATCACAATTTGATATTTTCCACCAAATCGCACAGCCCTACTCCAGAGAGTCCATACAGTAGACCCTGTAGAGTTCCTCCGTCCCCTCGGCAGCCAGACGTGTCGGAGCGTCCAGCGCCAGGCCTTCACTCGTTGAATCCTCGAGAACCGGTAGAAGACTGGGTTCCATATGTAAGACCTAAGTGGATCCCATATGTGTAAAGTCCACGGTATAGCCTTGAGCCTGTGTTTCCCCGGCAGACTTATGCCATTCCAAGAGTGTTACAATCACCTCCATTCTTCCATATGAACCTAAGGAATGTCCATATGTGTATTGCTTCCGAAACCTCCTTCGGGAAGGTTGGAGCTTCCGTAACGTCCCTGTTCCAAGTAGAACGGGTACGTTTCCCAGTGATATCCAGTCTTACTCATTGGGTAGTTCCATAGCAGCAGTAGCTGGCCCTCTTGTGCAAGCCCTGGGGAACGGAGACGTCACGTCCCGTCGCCACAGCTCCTGTACCACCGCTGAGCTCGGCTCCTCAGCGAAAACCTGAAATATGCGCTGCATCTGCTGCCTACTTATACTCACGCTGTGATCAGCAGCAGGTGGATGCAATAATCGCATGCCAATGTGCATTGGCTCGTTTAGTTTACACTCAAAGTGGATTGGGCTCTCTAAGCGAGATCCCAATTGCGTCGGTCATCCGACGTGACGTCTCCGTTCCCTCCTTCAGGGAACGAGGGTTACCATACGTAACCGAGACGTTACTTAGTTACATTTTAACAGTGGGAGGGTGGAAAATGGGATAGGCCTATAAATCTTGAACTAGTTGTTTTTAATTAAAGGAACGCCTTTACAAGTTAAACTGCAATAACCAAAAACATGTCGACACATGACATTTAAAACAATTAGGGATGTATGTGAGATTTTAATGCAGGTCATCCCACCAAGTAGGCAGAAAAAGCCAGTTATATTCTGGCTACCGACAAAACAAGCTAAGTTTATAAAATTTTTAATTGCTTTTGAAGGATTAGAAAATCAAGACTTCACATTGGTTATTTCAGTAGCATAAAAAACAAAACTAATATTATTATAAATTATACAAAGAAAGCGAGCAAAGGACACTAATGGCGGTCCATGACTTCAGTCTAAAGTGAGCTATGCACTTTCACAAAAACTCCCATAATCACTGAAGCAAATCAATCGCTTATATTTATTTTGCACTTTGTTGTTTATGATTATGACAGAATTTGTGAATGGACATTCAGAATTCAGTCAGTGAGCGCGCACACTTGAACAACTCCGGCGTTCTCTGCGGTGATGAATCAAAACGCCTCTGATTGGACATTGCATTCATAAACTCAACAGAAAGGTGTGTGAATGGTTATAATGCTCAACGCTGCAAATCGCGAGTATAAAGACATCTGATGCAACATGAGCAGATGTACTCTACAGTGTAACACCTTTCACTCATTTCACATTACACTTAAATAGTTCCCTGAAAATAATTGCACACCTTGGAACGTTTGTCAACCAATTAGATTCAAGCATTCAACAGCCCTGTAATATAAACTGTTATAAAGTTCTCAATTGATTTACATTACCAGCTATCAGAATTTGATCTTACTTCTGTCCATCAGTAACTGCACCAAATTGCATATATTTTGGGCCCCTGAATAAAACAGAGGTCTTTATGAACTCTATTTTCTCCTATGTCATACTATATGAGCCATAAACGCCTGACGTATAAAGTATGATACTGAATAAAAAACACATATTAACACAAATTATCCTGAATATTATTTCATACATAAGGCTTTATATGGTTAAACATGGTGTGATGATGAAATAATGTGGTGGGAATTATCATTAAGAATAGATCACTTAAAGAAATAGAAAAAACTATTCAGATTGAGAGTCTAAAGATTTTCCATTGGGTCAAACTTGGCCAAAGAGTTGAAGAAACACATTTAATGGAAAATTGGAGTCTAAATTATTGTGGCCATTTGGCTGTCATGAATTCTTACCTTCATTCCATCCTCCCCTGGATTCCCAGGGAAACCCTTCCTCCCAGGTCTGCCCTGAACAGAAAGTAGAAATGACCCATAGTACTGGACTCCCAGTCCTCTAAATCTACTCCCTGACATCTCATTACCCCCTGTTCCTGGGACCAATCTCCTCCATTCACCAATATATGAGCTCTCCCAGAGAGAGAGAGAGAGAGCGCACAGCTTCATTAAATAATTCAGAAACAGATGCATCACCTTCAGTCTCACAAATCCAGTGAACAATACTCAGAAGTGTTTATGTTGGAGCTTGGATAGATATCCCCTGGTCATCTATTAGCTAATGTCTGACCCTTTTGCCTCATTAGCTAAATTATCCACACTGGCCTCCCTTGGACAGACTCTCTAAAATCGTGGGATCGTTGGCAAGATTTGTACATGAAAAACTGGGTTAAATGCAATGAACTGTTCATTTAAATTAATCTCTTGTCAGGTACAGGCAGCTGTTTGTATTACAGGCTTTGGCATAAGGACAGACTATTTGCTGAGTGACATAAACCAACAGGAGTGTCTGAAGTCTATTACTATATTACACTAAATGCTCAACTGCAACACAACAAAATGATAAAATTACAAGAAAATATGAACCAGCATCAACGACTTTAAAGGAAGCCTCTGGTCATGAGCCAACGAGGTTCCTCAGAATGTCAATAGGCTATAAGTCAATGCGATTGCTAAGATGTCTAATTGAAGGTTAACTCAAGATATCCAAGGGGTTTATCAAGAAAGCACTCACCTCTAGTCCTGGAGCCCCTGGTGGTCTTACTGGGCCCTGATCTCCCTGTGGTTTAAAACAGAGGCATTATAATTTTTGAAGTAGTAAGCATCTACAAAATTATACTGATTAGGATTTTAACCTTTTTGATATGCATATGAGCACAAGCCTTTTGAAAACACCTGTAATACAATGTCATCTTAGATTCTAATAAGCTTTTAATAAGCTATGTTTTATATTTAAAACAGAAAAGATTAATTTAAAATGTGGTGTTGCTTATTCTTTGCCATATAAATGTTATTTTCAACACCAAGTAAAGCAGAAAAGCTCTAAACTGGTCTTGATCATTTGATTTGATTTGATTTTGTTAAAGTTGTGCCTCATTGTGTTGGTACAGTACTAAGTACTAATAAACAGTAATAGGCATGCTAATAAGCAACTAGTTAATAATGAGAATTGGTCCCTGTACTAACGTGTAACCCAATTTAAACATATCTAGTTGTTGTTTGCATTAATGTGTCACCTATTTTTACCTACTGTAACATATCATAGAAAAAGTATGTCTATTCCATGGAATCTCATGGCTGTATAATGCTAAAACTCCAGGCCTTGATGGGCTCACAAAGGAATTTTACTGGCCTTGCATAAAAACCTTGCTGTTTAAGAATGTACGCCAAACATGGATATATTTGGCTTTACCCAAAGGCATATATTTATTAATTATACTTACAACTGCACCTGTTAGACGTTGTTTTTGTGACTACAAATAGCTTCCTTGTATATGCCAATAGACTTGCAAATGTAGTTGCAGCATGAAGTAACTTTTTAGGTTTTTTAAATGACACATACAGTTATACACAGAGGACGATTATCACATAAACATGTTAATATTACACACTGTTTATAACTATAGATGCAGATACTGCATACAGTTGTACATACAGTTGTACATTCAGATTTACAGCTATTAATTTATTCCTAAACCAAAGAAGGGTCAGAACCTGTCCGGATCCTACCTCAAGTCCAGGAACTCCTCTAGGGCCTGGAATCCCTCTCGTTCCTGCATTCCCCTGCGATGTATTTAAAAATGAGCATATTTGCCCCTATTTTACAATTTGGGACCCAATAACAAATTTTGGGAAGGGGACCAAAAGCTTAAAGAGGAGAGATTCACACCTTTGGGCCCTCAGCGCTATTCTGTCCTGGTGGTCCAATATCCCCTGGAAAGCCCTGAGAAAACAACAACACTAGTCTTAGCACTACATTCATTATACTTTATCTAAGAAGACTCCCTCAGCTACTTAACTACAACTTCTCACTCTGAAATCTATTGGGAGGACTGTGTGAGCTTTCTAAACAACTGCAAATGAATGTCCATCTCTCTGCGGTTATTTTAAATTAACACAAAATGAAGGAACTACTAAAGCCAAGTGCACTTTTATGCTGTAAGTCTGCGAGTTGGCTACATTTTGTTGCCAATTTAAGACATAAAAAGTGCACTTATGTGCAGCTGAAAGACACTGTGTCATGTTTTTACGCTCTTTTACTATAGTTTACTTTCTGTGAGTTTGTGCATGGGTTTGTATGTGAACTGGACTTTAGTGGGAAGAATTGAATCTTATAACAGACACAGCTGATTTGTGATTAGATGTGTAGTGTAAAACAAGAAATCATTAGTCTTTAAACGTACACAAGGCAACGACCTTGTCACGAATCCGGTCCATGAACTTCCTTCTGTTAGCCATCAGAGGTCACCCTTTCCAATTTCATTGACTCTCGCACTACACACTGTTGCACATCACCCCGGACTACATATCCCATCATTCATTGCACTGATTGCACTCAGCACGGATTGCACACAGCTGTTAACACTGATTGCACCCAGCTGTTTCATATCACTCCCTCACTATTTAACACTCACTCTGATCCCTTCCCTCTGCCGAGTATTGTTTAGCGCATATCTATCTCTAGATAGCTACACTACAGAGCCCTCATTAGTTTCTTAGTAATACTGCAGCTCAACTTCTGTCACTGAAATAACACTCAGAATAAATGTGTCAGAAATCCTCATGTATCATCTTTCTCTATTGTTTTTGAGCATAAATAATAAAAGACGATGAGAAATGAGCTTGAGATCAGATCTGAATTGATGTTTGTATCATGAATATAATGATTCCTCACAAGACTGACACGAGCTTCAGGAGAGTTTCTGACATTATAACATAAAACATTCATCACAGCATTTAATCACATATACTGTAACTACAGAAAAGCTGTATTCAATTATTATGGGATCTCTTTCAAGCACTGATTTTATTTACTGTTTTTTATTTACCTAAATATGTAAAAATGTGATAAAATATGTATAATCTGCTGATTTGATAATAATAGCAACCACAATATGATTTGTTTAATTATTTGAATCATAACAAATCAATAAATAAATATGTTATGATTACAATAAGATTATTGTACTCTTAAAAAGTATGCATGTATTATTATTATTAATAATAATAAATATGAATGTAATTTAATTTTTTATTAGATTTTATACCAGTTAAAAAAACTTATTGCAATAATTATATTGCACTTATAAATAAAAAGTCAGTTGTCACGAATCCGGTCCATGAACTTCCTTCTGTTAGCCATCAGAGGTCACCCTTTCCAATTTCATTGACTCTCGCACTACACACTGTTGCACATCACCCCGGACTACATATCCCATCATTCATTGCACTGATTGCACTCAGCACGGATTGCACACAGCTGTTAACACTGATTGCACCCAGCTGTTTCATATCACTCCCTCACTATTTAACACTCACTCTGATCCCTTCCCTCTGCCGAGTATTGTTTAGCGCATATCTATCTCTAGATAGCTACACTACAGAGCCCTCATTAGTGCCTTAGCCTTAGCCTTAGCCTTAGCCTAGTTTTGCCTCGCCTTGTCTGTTTTCTCCGGTTCTGATCTTCGCCTGGTTTCCTGGATTTCTCCCTTAGTCTTGCCCCTTTTTTGATTCTGTCTGCCGATCGTCGACCTGCGCTAGCCCTAGGACTATTCTTGTGTTTTGCCTGCCATATACCTGTTTGTCTTTGTTTGACCCTGCCTGTTATGACCACGTCTCTGTCTTCTCCAATAAAAAGCTTGCACATGGATCTGCAAGTCTCACGTCTCGTCAGCCCCGTAAAAGACCTTCTGTCTTTGTAGAGTACACTTGGCTTGAAATGAAAGCACAATTACCTCAGGTCCAGGTGGGCCTGGCAAACCATCTGGGCCTCGATCTCCAGGCTTACCCTGAAAGACAAACAGCTATAATTTGACTCTGTCAAATCAGAACTAAATATTTAAGATTAATCAACCTGATAAAATACAATGAAATAACAATAATAATAAAAAAGTTGCATGTATTAACCTGTGGTCCTGGCTTTCCTCGAATTCCTGGTAAACCTGGTGAGCCCTGATTACCCTGGAAAATTCAGTTAATAAGTACATAGTTACTTAAATAAAAACCTCTGTTTGGGTCTTTAAAAGCACATAAATACTCACAAATGCATGCACACACACACACACACATTTTTTGAAGTTGTAAATAAAACAAAGATGATTTCAGTATGATTTACAAGAAAATACAGTCTTTCTATTTCAAAATTTCACAGTTAATTCAATGTTGAGGTTTCTTTGTAATAAACTGTGAAATTTACTAACAATTTCTGAGTGAATTTTATTTCTACACTATTTGTTTTATTGAACACAGTTTTTTATATTACTCACTGTGTGAATACATCAAAAGAAAAGTCGTTATCTGAAATACCTTGTCACCTTGAAATCCAGGGTCTCCCGGTTCACCTGGCAACCCGACTTCACCCTGTCGACAGAGACAAAACAGTGACAAAACATCACTCTCTGGCCTTTAAGTCAGGATGTCCCAGCAGTTCAATCACAGCAGTTACTCCAGATACTGTCTCTATGTCTGTATGTCTGTACTGTATCTGTATCTATGTTACAATGTGTCTGTAACTGTACACATGGAGATCAGAGAAGCTGTCCAAAACAAAGCCTTATAAATATATTGCCTAGCAGCAAAATACAACATTTAAGTACAGGGCTGCCAGCACCTGTCCAACTGGCAGACAGAGAGACCAACACAGAAATGGGGAGCAGCAGGACAGAGGTTACACTTCTGACCAGCCTTCTCTAATATTAATTATCACATAAAAGCACACCTCAGTAACAATATCATTGCTTTACTATTTTGCTCAAATATATTGATCAATACTTGATAGAATAACATTCATTACTGTGTGAATTTTAAAGCAATTTTTATTGAAAAGTCTCAAATATCTAAAAATCTATTTATCTGTTAGTTTATTTATTTATTTACAATCACAGACAGAGAGAGAACTCTACTGAGTTATGTATGGAGTATGTGTCATTATATCGCATTAATGGTTTGGAATGGTCTCTTATGCTCACCAAGCTTTATTTATTCGATCAAAAATACAGTAAAACCAGTACTATTGTGAAATATTACAATTTAAAATTGTTTCCATTTATATATTTTAAAATGCAATTTATTTCTGTAATGGCAAAGCAGAATTTTCAGCAGCCATTACTCCAGTCTTCAGTATCAAATGATCCTTCTGAAATCATTCTGATATGCTGATTTGCTGCTCACGAAACATTTCTTATTATTACTATTAATGCTAAAAACAGTTGTGCTGCTTCATTTTGATCTTCCTTGATGAAAGTTCAACAGAGTTTATTTGACAGAAATCTTTTGTAACATACATGTCTTTACTGTCACTTTTGATCAATTTAATACATCCTTGATGAACAAAAGTATGAACTGCTTTAAAAACAATTCTTACTGACTTTTAACTTTTTGTAGCTGTGACTGACAACATTTTAGCATGTTACAGCTGATCTCAGTCTCTCCCAATAGTGGCTCTGTGCAATCAAATACAGAAGAAGCAAAAGCTAATAAAGGTTATTCAGATCACCTTATCACCTTTCAGTCCAGACTCGCCAGGGTTTCCTGGTATACCCTGCAAGACAACAAACAGACAATTGTTAAAAAGAAGAATTGGTAGAATTGTTTTATGAATTGAAGACCATACATTTTAACCATCAGTTGCTCCTTAAATGCAAACGGAACTTGTCTGTACATTTATTAAATAATGTTGCCTACAACATTTGTTGCTATGAAAATAATCCAAATTAATAAGTCACTAAATGTGTTGAAATTTAAAGTATTATGTACTACTGTGTGTGATTTCAATTGTTAAAATCATGTTCAAATTCCTTTTTGTTATTTGAGTGTAGTGTGCAAAGACAACTATAAGAAAGCAATTTGTAAGTTAATTTCCTTTCATTTCTCCCAGCCTGACCAAGCTGGTTAGATTGGTGTGTTTTTCTTATTTTAGAGGGGTTTTGGCTACTTTTTAGGCTGGGAGACCAGCCAAACCATCCTAAATCAACTAAGACCAGCAAATCCCTTTAGGCTAGTTTGAAATAGTCTTTTCAGCATGGATGTTCATAACAATTTCAATGTAATCACCTTTGGTCCTATTAATCCAGCAAGACCCACAATTCCAACAAGACCCATATCACCCTGCCATGAAATATAAAAAGCATAAACAAGCATAAAAATTTACAATGCACACATTATATTCACAGGCCAACAGAAAAAAAAAATCAGAAAGCATCAATGTCGGGAAGGCAAAAACCACAGCCAGAAGGTTCGAAGTTAATAATTGAATGTTTGTTTACTCACAATAAAACCAGGGATGCCAACAGGACCTGGGGCACCCATCTCTCCCTGGTGAAACAGAAACAGAGAGCAGATACTGAGCGTTACTGGCACAACCAGATATTGAGCGTTTCTGGCACAACAGTCACTCTGAGGCCACTGGAGAAAAGGGGTGAAACCTCTGTTCCTTGATAACAAGCTAATCTGTTGCCTGCATCTACCCCTCAGTGAGCCAATGAAAGAGACATGCTGTGGAGTACAGAGAGGAGCTTGTTGTGTGGCATGACTGGCCCACTGCTAACTGCCATACCTACTTCCTCTCTCAGCAGCAGGCCAAAAAAATCCCCTGTGTATTTTTGCTTTCCTTGTTCTTTGAAAGTGAGCAGATAGATGTTACAGGGTCGGCTGCTCTTGCTGAGTGACCACTGATGTATAAAAAGGATTGAGGTGAGGGCGTGCGTGTCCTCTACGTTTGCGATATGGTTAGGTTTACAGTACTGCAGGCAGTCAGGTGATTAGGCTAGCGCTACTCTAAGCTACTGCCGGCTCAGCTTTGGAAAAAAAAATAGTTCACACAAGCATATATTTGAAATGGGCTGTTTGCAAAAGACCCAGGAAGGCAAGATTTTTAATGACTTACTTTTGTATAGTCCACATTTTTAAACAAAACTTAATTTTATGTGAATGGTGCACCTTCCGAGAGCTTTCTTCATTCCTCTCTTTGTAAACAAGGCGCAGCACATGCAGGTTCGACATTAGAACGCCGGCTCCTGCGTCAGCAGCAACACACGCATACGTCATCGAACTTTAATGAATGTACGCGAAAGACACGGAAGAGAAGAATTGTTGAATAAAGTCGTTATTTTAGTTTTCTTTGTGCACAAAAAGTATTCTCATAGCTTCATAAAATTACCGTTGAACCAATGATGTCACATGGACTATTTTAACGATGTCCTCACTACCTTTTGGGACTTGAACATGGTAGTTGCATTCCTGTCTATGCAGGATCAGAAAGCTCTTGGATTTCATCAAAAATATCTTAATTTGTGTTCTGACATGAGGGCAAGTAATTAATGACAGAATTTTCATTTTTGGGTGAACTATCCTTTTAATGGCTGCTAGGATGCTGCTAATGCCGAGTTCACACTGCACAATTTTAGCCTCGATTTTCACTCGCTGACAGGTTTTGTGAAATCACCAACAAATGCTTGAAATTGGAGGCAAATTGGTGCTCGTTCATGCGAGTGACAATCACGCAGTGTGAATTATCAAAGAATCGCCGACACATTGCCGATGCCTGTGAAATATTTGCCATGCTAAATATCTGGACCTGTCAGCGATTCAAAATCCTGCTGTGTGAAATGAGTTCTGACTAAAAAATACATCGGTGATGACCTACAGCCAAAGAGAGAGCAAGATACTAGTTCGGGGAGAAGTTACAGATCACAATATCAGCGTGAACTTGCATTATTTCCTTATCACTTCTCGCGTGCGTTTGGTTGTGAAACGTAGTTTGTGGACCAGACAGAGTTGTCGGCGATTCTTCCTATTGTAAAGTCATGCAGTGTGTAACCTCCTGTTGCCAATCCATCGTGCAATGTGAACATAGCAGCAACTGAATGCTACTTCAGATAGTCATTTAGTGTGAAAACATCGGTGATCCAACGACTTTTAAAATAATGCAGTGTGAACTTGGCATAAGTGGCTTGTTACTGAACCTACAGTAAAATGAGCTCACCAGAATATCTTAATGTTGCAATGTAACTAAAGTAGTGATAGACTTTTTCTACACTATTGTGAAATACATCTGAGTAAAATGGATTATCAAAAAAAAAAAAATGTAGGGTGGGGACTTGATTCTATCCATCGGTTGTTGATTGGATGGGGGCAGATGTGAATGTGAGCTTGCAGTCAATTGTAAGAAAGAGCAGGATTTAAGCAAACGAAATGATTGGAGCGTTTTAGAGGGACAGTTAATTTACTCATTCTCATGACTGACATTCTTCTGCAGAACACAAAAGGAAGTAATCTAATAAATATTCAGTGGGATGAACTGAATACAATGGCACAATGGCTCACATCTCTTCAATAAGCCAAAAGACTGAATGTTCAAACCAGAAATTGTGCAGGACTATCTGTAGTCTATACTCAAGGTACTTTTTTTTTTTTATTCCTAACTGTAAATATGAGCAATAGTGACTGTAATTAAAGGCTTAGCAAAGACCACTAACAAGCTGATGAAATGTGGTTTTGCATTAGAAATGTCTGCTAATCATTTTTGACAATACACATTTTATAGATTGCTAAGATATTATACTAATGTCTATAAGATGTCAATTCCTAATATGCAAATCAGTGTCAGAAAAATGACTTATTTGAATATTATGGTACATGGAAACATGAATAAGATGAAAAATTGGGTAAAGAATATGGTAAAACGATCAGAAGTGAAGCAACCCCTGTAATGGCTAAAACAGATATCTGCTGTAGACTCCGGTAGTGACAGCTGATTTCCTCATTACCAATATTACTCAATGCTGAGCTGCACACACTGGACGCCCAACTGGCTTGTGTGTGTTATTGTGGTAGCAGAAATCAAAGGTATTTATTAGAGTGTAGCGGTTTGCGTGGCCCGGTCAGCTTGTATAACCGTATGTGTATAACAGTGTATGACAGGCAGGAAAAGGGCATGCAAAGGCTAGGAGACTTTGGGATGACTTTTTGCTGAACATTTCTCTCGCTGTACGGCAATATTCTGATACACTAAACCTGATAATAAATATAACCCCAAACAACTATGCTTAAATCTCTCTGAGCATTAGAAAACTGGAGTTCCCCCAAATGGCAGTTGGCCAGGTGGTTGATGTAGCACTACTTACTGGATTTCCATCAGGTCCTGGTGGTCCTCGCTCCCCAAAATCTCCTGGAAAGCCCTAAGCACACAAATGTGAGAGACAGCAGAGCTTAGCAGAGCGAGACTTGAGGAAACCGCACTTAGACTCAGGGCAGATACCATTTGTGCATTGCTGTTTCCAGTTGCCCACATGGTAAACATTGTCCCTTCACTCTAATCCTGCGCAAACCTCTGTAACACCAGAACCACTCCATAATCATGGGATACTGAAAAACTGGATCTCAAAAAACAGCCACAGGAAAGCAGCAATAGGATAGAATAAGTTTTAACCACCAACTACCGGTATATCTCCAATACAGACAACACGTTCAAGAAAACTGGGAGACACTGCAGCATTGTTCATTTTACAAAGGTGGTTTTGGATGGAGTATATTAGTGGCCAGAATTTTTTTACCACTATTTAAGTATGTGAATAAAACAGATTGAAATGGAGGTTTTTGTATTACTATTTCTACTGTGGATAGTATGGTAAGTTAGAACTATTTTTTATTTTGCATTTGGACTTTAGCCATGCTTTCCATATAGCAAAGATTAACAATAAATACTGACAACACATTAAAAGTTTTAAATTGTTGTGATGTGTGAATGAACTGCTTTATACATAATAAAATGGTATCTGAAAAAGTAAAATCATCAAATCAATAGTAAACGTGAGTATGCTCCAAAAAATGACATTAAGCAGCACAATTGTTTTCAATTTTTATAATAATAAGAAATGCTACTTGTGGACCAAACCAGCATATCAGAATGATTTCTAAAGGATCATGTGACACTGAAGACTGAAGTAATGGCTGCTGAAAGGTCAACTTTGCCATCACAGGAATAAATAATATTTTAAAACTTAAATAGTAATATAATTTCACAATATTACTGTTAATTTACAGTATTTTTGATCAAATAATTGTAGTCTATAAATAGATAAAGTCTAAAAACTGTAGTAAAAGTCTCGTATAAAATTTAGTAAAATTAAATATTTAAAGGATGCTAAAACAAATCTACCTTTTTACAACAGCAATTAAGAATGTACTAATAAAAATGTAAGAATATGGCTGCTGCACTGAAGTTTTGTTTTGTGAAAGCAGAGCCTGATGCCGAGTCACAGAAACAAGCTCAGTTCTCGTCTCTGTCAGCCCTGCAGGAAATTCCATGGCTGAGTGTTTCCTTACACTGGCAACGACCAGGAGGAGCGAGAGGAGGACCCGCCGGGATTCGCTGACAGCGCTGTTTCCCCTCTATCTACTGTTGCGTTATATAAGAGGACAAGAGCTATGACGTCGCACTTCACTGTGTGCTAAACGTGTGCTTGTCTTAAAGCCAAAGTCAACACTTGCGCTGTGTGGAGATCTTTTTTTGTCCTCCAACAAGGCAAACAGTGAGTTACAGCCGAGGTGCATGTGCTGCCTATCAAACAGAACTGCAGAGTTAGAGAATTGCTTATTAAGAACAGATGATTCTGTGCTTGGCACTGCATTTGTGCTTTGAGTCTAGAAAGAACTGCACATAATTGGAAGTTGTTTTGGAAAAAGATGAGCCTGAATTCTTAATGTCTAGTTCTTTTGAAAATATGCAGACTTAGAGCACCAACGTCATTTTGCTAAATAGAAAATTATTATGGGTGTGCAGATGGTAAAACTTTGTAATTAATTATTGGTAATTTAGTATTATTCATCTAGACAAAATAAGACAGCTCTGTCTACTGCCAAGACAGACTGTCAGGAACAATGAAAAATAATAGTTGCATTATGACTTATGCTATGACTGAGTTTGGTTCTATCTATCTATCTATCTATCTATCTATCTATCTATCTATCTATCTATCTATATGCAGATTTTGTGCTTAAGATATTACGTGGAATGTAGGCTGCAATGTGATCATGGTCTTACAGTAAAGAAAATAGTGACAAAAATGATAGTTTGCTTAGAAAATAGAACATGTAGATTAGTTTGTTTCTTCTTTGGAACAGATCTGAAGAAATTTAGCATCACAAGCTCACCAGTGGATCCTCTGGAATGAATGGGTGCCGTCGGAATGAGAGTCCAAACAGCTGATAAAAACACCACAATAATCCACAAGTAATCCACACTACTCCAGTCCATCAATTAACGTCTTGTCAAACAAAAAACTGCATGTCTATCTATCTATCTATCTATCTATCTATCTATCTATCTATCTATCTATCTATATGCAGATTTTGTGCTTAAGATATTGGAATGTAGGCTGCAATGTGATCATGATCTTACAGTAAAGAAAATAGTGACAAAAATGATAGTTTGCTTAGAAAATAGAACATGTAGATTAGTTTGTTTCTTCTTTGGAACAGATCTGAAGAAATTTAGCATCACAAGCTCACCAGTGGATCCTCTGGAATGAATGGGTGCCGTCGGAATGAGAGTCCAAACAGCTGATAAAAACACCACAATAATCCACAAGTAATCCACACTACTCCAGTCCATCAATTAACGTCTTGTCAAACAAAAAACTGCATGCTTATAATAAATAACTGCATTAAGATGTTTTTAACAGTAAACAGTTGCTTCTGGTTAAAATATAAGTCCCCCATCCATAACATTGCTTTTGTTTATTACAAACATGCAGGTTTTTGCTTCACAAGATGTTAATTACTGTAATGTTCTGGAGTCATGTGGATTATTGTAATGTTTTTATCAGAGGTTTGGACTCTCATTCTGACGGTAAATCTGTTTTGATGAAAAAACAAACTCATCTACATCTTGGATGGTCTGAGGGTGAGTAAATTTTCAGCAAATGTTAATTTTTGGGTGAACTACTCTAATGTATCCATCCAATTGGCTGTGGAACAATGGTTGAGAAACCCTGCTTTAAGATTGTAGATAACGAGGGTCATAAAGTCAGCACAAACAGAATCAAACTCTCTCAAACAGCAAGAAAGGGGTCACAAATCACTGAACACAGAGGCAAGTCATTCACAGAAGTTTCTCTAGAGAGGATGGTGAAAGAAAACTTTACCGGCCTACCCATCTTGCCCTTCTTCCCGGGAACACCAGGTAAACCCTAAGAGGAGACAGCAGATAGAAGGAGAGCATGGAAAGACAGGTAAAAAGAGACAGAAATTTTAAAAAAGCACACAATGAATTAATCAATTACCAATCCCAGACGCAATAGACTGTGTGAATGCTGAAAGGTCTTAGTTTCTGCTCTTCTGGACACAAAAGGGTCTCTCAGATCTCTATGAACTCTGCTCCCTCTGGGCCTGAAAATAGGAGACGTGATCTGGCTAATCCGCAGCAGGCCATATTCCAGCTCCCGGGGGCTTTTATTGCTATTTCCACAAAGTATTGCAGGACGGAATTCACCAGCTCGAGGTTCCTGAGCAAATATTGTGAGAACTGAGACTAACTACTGTTTTGAAGGGGGATCTCTGTGGTTTTAGTGGAGCGTGCCCCTTTCACCAGGATTCCTATTCAAAGCAAGTGCTCTGGATTTACAAGCCACCATTATAAAGAAGAATGATACATGTAAGGCACAAGTGTGTGGGTTTTGCTCAAGTAATATTTCATATAGGGGCATCTAAAACCAAGACTATACATCTCCATTATACCACACTGTTTTACTAAAAACTAGGGAACAGCAATGGACTTTTAATGCACTAGTAACAGTTGTTACACTTAAGGGAACACTCCACTATTTTTGAAAATAGGCTCATTTTCCAACTCCCCTAGAGTTAAACAGTTGAGTTTTACCGTTTTCGAATCCATTCAGCCGATCTCCAGGTCTGGTGGTAGCACTTTTACCTGTAGCTTAGCATAGATAATTGAATCTGATTAAACCATTAGCATCTCGCTCAAAAATGACCAAAGAGTTTCGATATTTTTCCTATTTAAAACTTGACTCTTCTGTAGTTACATTGTGTACTAAGAACGACGGAAAATGAAATTTTCTAGGCCGACACAGCTAGGAACTATACTCTCATTCTGGCGTAATAATCAAGGAAATTTGCTGCCGTACTATGGGTGCAGCAGGCGCAATGATATTACGCAGCGCCTGAAAATAGTCCCCAGCAAGCCCTGTGCAAGCAGGTGGTCACATTGGTTATGTTGATGGAAGTTAGCCTATTTTCAGGCCCTGCATAATATCATTGCGCCTGCTGCACCCATGGTACGGCAGCAAAGTGTCTTGATTATCACGCCGGAATGAGAGTATAGTTCCTAGCCATATCGCCCTAGAAAATTGCAACTTTTTATTTTCCGTCGGTCTTAGTACACGATGTAACTACAGAAGAGTCAAGTTTTAAATAGGAAAAATATAGAAACTCTTTGGTCATTTTTGAGCGAGTTGCTAATGGTCTAATCAGATTCAATGATCTATGCTAAGCTACAGCAAAAAGTGCTACCGCCAGACCCGGAGATCAGCTGAATGGATTCGAAAACGGTAAAACTCAACTGTTTTACTCTAGGGCAGTTGGAAAATTAGCCTATTTTCAAAAATAGTGGAGTGTTCCTTTAAGTTTTTGTTTGTTTTGTACATACATTTGGTGTGTTGTTATATTTTTTGGGTTTGTTTTCTGTGTTCAGCTTTTTCTAAATCGGTACATGATTTTAATATTTCTATTCCATTCAAATTCAAACTATTTGCTGTGCATTTCTTTATGACATCCATAATTAGCAAAAAATCACTTGAGTGCAGAAACAACAGCAAAACTCACTCTTTCTCCATCAGGTCCAGGGAGACCGAAGACACCTGGGAAGCCAATGAAGCCCTAAAAAAGGGCAGTGTAAGAAGACAAGAAATAAACAGAGAGACTTTAGAGTGATATGGTCTGAATATCCCTTGATAAAGTGCAGATTAACTTGCAAAGGTCTTTTGAGGACAGTGGACGCTCGGTGAAGATCTAGGCCTTGAGGCAAGTGTATATGCCCATGGACTGCATGGTGCTGGCTTCCACGATGTAGTCCAAGGGCACATACCCTCACACCAGGGATCACACTGGCATTCGGCAGGATGCCTAAGGTTGGGTCACAAGGTTAATACACATGAACATACAATAAAATCATGAAAAGCAAAAGACAAAGACTGATGAGGGAACTATGCATTTTATGATACAAAGCAACATAAAAATTAAAACCATTAAATATTAACTAGCTAAATGAAATAAAACATTATTAAAAATATATTTATTACAGATACATTAACATTCTCATATACAGTAAAAAAAAAAAAACGAACGAACTAATAATAAAAATATGTTAGCACTAAGGGAAATAATAAAAAAAGGCTTTGGATGTACACTGCTGCCATATACTTTACAAGACCAAAATGGTTTTAAAATGTTAGTGGAATTATAATATAAAACCCAGCTGACAGCGCTATACTTTCAGAGCTGATGTTCTGAGGTTTTATAATGAAAACAACTCCCAATAACGGATCCTTAAATGTCTACAACCATTTCCTTTTCTGGTGCCTTTCAGAGTTTCCAAACTGAAAACAAGGTTTCAATACTAAAAATGTAGCAGCCCTTACAAAACGTCCTGAACATAATAGCTCTACCACTTTTAGGCAAATTTATAGGAACAAACATGGAATGCAAAAGCATCTCATCTTAACTGAACTCAGCCAATACATGATGATTAATTTATAGCCAACAGTGTCTAAATGATTTCTGATTAAAAAATATATATATATCAAGACAATACAGGTATATCAAAACAGGCAATATAGAGAGTCTCTGTGTTATTTATCCCTTACCCGTACACCTTTTGGTCCCATATTTCCTATAGGCCCCGGCAAACCCTACAAAACACAAACAAAGCAATTATGATGAGTTATGATGTTGCAATTTTGCAAATATGCTCATGAAAGCTAAAACTCCATAGTTCTCTGTGTATAATACACTATCAAAAAATGCCAGCTTGATAATCATGAGGAACAGATTGGAGTTGGTGCTGAACAGGTGGAAAGTAGCAAATAAGTGGATCTAGTGCCAATCAATATGTCCTCCTAAAGACTTATCAAGTGTTTGTACATACTTGAGAACTGCGAAACAATTATACAATTCCTACTTTAGACTGGCCAAACTTTAAACATAAACTGAACTGGGATGTGCGCTTTTGTAGCATGTGCCGATTTAACCAACCTTGGCCAAGGACAGCTCAGCCAAAAATGAAAATTCTGGCATTTAATAATTTGACGGTACCCATTGACTTTCATAGTATTTTTTCCATACCACGGAAGTCAATGGCCACGTCAACTTTTTGGTTACCAACATTATTCAAAATATCTTCTTTTGTGTTCAACAGAAGACAGAAACTCATACAGGTTTGGAACAGCCTGAGGGCGATTAAATGCCATCATTTTTGGATGAACTATCCCTTTAAAAAGTTAAATCAGCTGATTCTCTGTAAAGTCCGCAAAAAAATCTACGCAAATCTAAATTCCAATAGGACTTTCTAAAACATGCCTCATTGTGAAGTTATGCAAGACTGGAAACTACCAGAATGTTTCATTAGTAAGTTGTATTTGTTTCCCTGAATATGTGAATATGTGAATCCGGAAAAGCTGGGGCTGATCACATGCAGACTCAGCAGAGGGAGAGCATCTATCAAAAGTGAGAGAATCATCATTTGCAAATGACTTTTCCAAATATCAGGTATCATTCATGCCTTTAGCACCAAAAAATGATTAATTTAGTGCTAGCACACTAAGCTCAAAAAATAAAATTCATTTTCATTGCCTGTTAATTCCAAAAACAATTCTCATTTTTCAAAAATGATGTCAAAATAAGTGGTCATATTGGCAGAGCAAGCTGTTTTAGTCTCCAATACAAGCTCTGACACTTTACTACTAGTCTCACTATACTCGTGTCGGTGAGTACTGTGCAAGCCAGCAGCACAACAGAAGATTTACTGCACCTGCCTGCCAGGATAACCTTTGGCACCCGGGCTTCCATCTGGTCCTCTTTCTCCCTGTGGAGAGAAGAGAATGAACAGAATATAAGGAGGAAAAAATCCATTACAATAAACATGTCATTAGCATTGGAAGCTCTTCTTGTGGAAAGCCATAACAAACAAAAAGAAAGATAAAAAGCACAATGGAGAGAGAGAGGAGTGAATGGCCTTTCTATTAAAACAACATGTTTTTCTTCTGCGTGTCTGTAAATAGTTTCAGTCTTTTTTCATGTGTTGCCATTTTTGTCAATATGACAAAAATGGAGCACGTGTGGCCAACCACAGAATTGTGAGATTATGAAACAAAGATGAAAGCATTAGATATTACTTTTATACTACTATAACTCAACAACTTTAAATTCCAGAAATTTAATTCCAGAAATTTGAGGAAAGTCTAGATTGCCAAAACTTTAAAAAAAAAAAGTTTAATCAGTTCTACAGTCTCTTTTTAGTTTTCGTTGTGTCCATTGCTAAGCTCGTGTAATTTATTATATATGCAAGTGTGGATGATTTGGAATGCATCTCAACTGAGTAGCAAAGTGTTCTGGTTAGATGAAAGATTTGTTGTCACATGCATATTTTACAAGGGATGTCAATTAATTTACTGTCACTAAAATATTGCAACAAAAAAAAATTATGCATTTAATCATTTTTGTGAGTCTGTAGTCTGCTACTTTTTTAATCCTAAAATGTATGCGCAGTTAAAAAAATTTACTCTTGAGCTGTACACATACATTCCATCTTAGGTCTCAAAGGATCTGAAAAGTTCTGAATGAGAGTCCAACTGAAATCATCATGTCTACTAAACAGACAAGATAATACTCAGAGCTAAGGTGTGGTCACATTTGCACAGTCAAATTTCACAGGCAAAAGAAAGCCACAGATATAATAATGGGAATAATGACATAATACAAAATCAGTCTATTCTGCCAACCCCAAACAAAAATTGCTCAGGGAGACTATCAGGTGAAAGTCTTCCCAATTCACTTCACAATGAATGGATTTGGCCTTCAAAAGTTTGCAAAGCAATGGTGAATGCGATGGCACCTTTGGGATTTTTACTTTGGTTATGTAAAGATCATAGTTTTATCAATCCTCTAGTTTTATAAATTCCTTTAATTCTCCTCTTGTGGAAAGTTAAAAAAAAGTAATGGCATAGGAACTCACTTGATCTCCGGGGTGGCCAGAAGGACCAGGATGGCCTTTCTGTCCCTAAACAGAGAGAGAGAGGGATTGAGTGTTGCGAAAGGATATAAACACTTCCATTTATAGTTTGTCAAACAAGAGGAGGTAAATTACAGCAAGGATAATGTGCCTTTAAGGGAGTCACTTCTCAAACATTTGCTTAATCATATCCTGGGGGGTTTCCACATACAGAGCCAAAAGAAAATCTATCATAATCTCTGAACTTTAGTAATTCTAAAGGAACTTAATAATTTCCCACAAACAGCTATTAAATGACCATAAGCTGGTTCTCATTACAAAAGTAACATTATTCTTTTTTGACATAATGAAATGAAAATTTGCTTTTGCATTCAATGTGTCTGCCAATGAGTCACAGGAACAAAGTGAAACCAGCATGTACAATCCCAGCGGTTTACAAATGTTCCCAGGATGGAGGGATGGAAAAGTAATAAATGTAGAGAAACATAACAGGTCTCAAAGTGCACATCAACAGATTCCACTCTAACAGCAAGCCACTTCCGAAATAATACCAACTCATTAACAGCTGAGCAGACGCTTAAATGGTCTGGGGACAGGCCAATTAGCTCTCATATCAGCCCATAATGAGGGAAAGACAACATTTTATGCTTATGTGGTAGCTACCTCTTCAGGTTTTATTTTTATGAGTTTACTGCATTAACTCAACTATGTACTGTAATTGATTCATTACAAATTTCTTGTAAGCAGCAAAAAATGTTATATATATGTTAAATATATATATTAAACTTTAGATATTTAGATATATTTAGACAAGCTGCTCTTTTCCATTTAATAAACGTACAGTATATTCAGGTTTGGAATCACTCCTTTCATTCTTGTGTGAACTATTACTTTGAGAAGAACAATAACCAATGAACAAAAACAATTCACAATCGACCAATGCAGCTCTTCAAGGTCCAACACAACAGGAACATTCATGGCACTCATTCCTCAATGTGCTGAGGTACCACTTTAAGAACCTTTCCTTCTACGAAGACTTGTAGGGACTGTAAATGTAATGAAGACATCATTGGCACCTTCACAGTGAGTGAAAAATCATGTGGTGTTATGTGTCTTGGCTGGGTAATTGGCAGTAACCTTTGGGATTACAATAACAGAGAGGAAACTTCTATTGACTAGAATTCAAGAGGAGGAATGGAAATTCTATGGCAAGGTTCAGCTCTCACTGAGTAACACTCCCACACAAGAACATTGTACATATAGAATACTATTTTTTTATTGCAGAATATATATATATATATACAGTGGTATGTATAAAAAGTGTTGGCCCCCTTCCTGATTTCTTATTTTTTTGCATGTTTGTCACACTTTAATATTTCTGTCACAAATTCGGTCCATGAACTTCCGTTTTTTCACCACCAGATGTCACCCTTTCCATTACATTGACTCTCGCACTACACAAACTGTTGCATAGCACCCCGGACTACATTTCCCATCATTCTTTGCACAATTTGCACACTGCCCTGATTGCACTCATTGCACACAGCTGTTTCTAATTACCTCATAGCAGGACAATGATCCCAAACACACCAGCAAGTCCACCTCTGAATGGCTCAAGAAAAAATAAATTAAGGTTTTGGAGTGGCCAAATCAAAGTCCGGACTTAAATCCGATTGAGATGCTGTGGCATGACCTTAAACAGTCCATTCATGCTAAAAAACCCTCCAATGTGGTTGAATTAAAACAATTCTGCAAAAAAGAGTGGGCCAAAATTCCTCCACAGCGACGTGAAAGACTCATTGCCAGTTATCGCAAACACTTGATTGCAGTTGTTGCTGCAAAGCGTGGCACAACCAGTTATTAGATTTAGGGGGAAATTACTTTTTCACGTAGGGCCAGGCAGGTTTGGACAGCTTTTTTCCCTTAATAAAATAAATAATCATTTAAAAACTGCATTTTGTATTTACTTGCATTATCTTTGTGTAATATTAAAATTTGTTTAATTATCTGAATCTTTTAAGTGTGACAAATACGCAAAAATTTAAAAAACAGGAAGGGGGCCAACACTTTTTCACACCACTGTATATATATATATATATATATATATATATTTGCAAGGATGCATTAAATTGATCAAAAGTAACAATGGTAAATCTTAACTGTCAAATAAATGCTTTTTTTAAACAGCCTATTCATTAAAGAATCCTGACAAAATGTATCACGTTTTCCACAAAAATATTACGCATCAACTGTTTTCATCATTGATAATAATAAGTGTAGCGAATCAGCTCATGGGGAAATATGAATAATTAATCATAACTAGTTATAATTAATTATAAATATTTAGATCCGCTGTAGATATTTACTTGACCTCTCAGGGTCAACTGTCTGTCAATTCTAAGAACATTAATTTCCTGGTTAAGGGAAATAACTTTCTTACTGTACAATTC